CAGCCTCCAGCCTGGCCATGTGCCAACCATTGTTTTTCAGCCAGGCAAACATGTCAAAAACACATGGAGGTCATGAGTTGTCTGCGATTCATAATAGTGTTGCCAGCGTTTGTTTTCTCAGGTCAGCATATGCCACCAGCCTGAGTCCTTCTTATAAAGTGTTAAGCCACCTTTTTTTTACAAACCTCTGATTAGGTATCTTGTTCCTAAGAGAACATTTGTGTCAAATACAAAAACAACTAGAATTTTCTTCAATCTGCTGTGATTTTGTTTCTGTAGAGACTCCTTTAAACATAAGGCTTCCTCCAATTGTGGTAACAACAAGGGCGACTCAGAATCACACTTTCATAGCAATCCAGAGGATAAACAGGAAGTGTGTGCTGCAAGCAGGAAGAGATGTTGTAATACCTGAGCCAACCACAGACGACTGAGAAGACACAACAAGAATCCAGACAGGACCCACAGCTATGAATTAGACCGAGTTTATGTTGGACTCAAATAAGAGCTCATGAATAGCAAAGTAGAGTTTTTACCAATGAAAAAAAAGCTAACAGAGGTCTTACTGATTTATATATACAGTATATATAAAAATGCCTCGCTTTTAGCAAATACTAACAAATAACCACAGAAACACATTTAAAGACCCTGGAGTCGCTGAGTCAATTATCACTTCCTCCATCACTGTGTGGTTTGATACTGCACTCCAATCATAGACTGCATAGTGTGTAGTGTGATGTGCAGAGTTAACCACCCTGCTAAGACATCTACACCTCCAGGGTCACAAAGAGAGTGACTAAACCCATGTCTGATCATGTCTCACCCCTGCCAAACCTTTTTCCAAAAACTCTCAGAGAAAAATCAGACTGACAGTCCCCAAAACCAAGACCATGCACTACCGCCACAGCTTCTTTCTGCAAGCACTAACTATCTTTAATAAGAACAGTATAAATCTGTAAACATAACTACACCACCCAGATCTCACAGGTTAGCTCTGACTGCATTTGTTATTTTGTTATAATGGATCTACAACTAAATAATGCCAGTCTTTTGATTTTCTCTTATCTTGGTTGTCTGTATTAAGTAGCTACAAACATAACAAAAACACCTCAACACATTTTATACATTTGCTGGCAACCAACACGTAATTGTATTACTGTAAAAGAGTGTGTATGTGTACTGTCCACAGTGTGTATGCAAAGGCTGCACCTTAGCCTGACTCATGACACTGCCTGCACAGGTCACATCTCTGCCACATTCCTCACTAGTGTTCTTAAAAAGCTGTTGTCATCACTCAGCTCACTGCCCCCCTAAATTGGGCTGCATTTTTCCCTCCAAACACACATTAGCTGTGTCCCAGTGTGGATTGGCCTTTGCAGTTTACAACGGCTACTGCCTCCTTCGAAGGATGCAGCCCCTGAACTGAGACACAGCTAAAGTCTATACTGTACTCAACCTGTAGCCAAGGGTAGTCCTGGATAGGCCCGGGTCAGCTGGACATACCTGCCCAGTCAAACAAGAGCATTTATTGTCTTTGTTTTTATTTTTTTAACAACTATGAAGGTGATTTGTTTTTCTTGGCATCTAGATGATGTTGACCTTTGACAGATTTTAAAGATCTGTCACTTTCCTGCGCACTTATACTCATTACTTTCAACACAATGTAATGCTAAATTTTAAAATTTAATTCAACATTGCATACTAGTGTAAAACTACAATCACTCAATACCAACAACAATTTATTTTAATTTTACCTTGTTT